GTAATCAATTTGATTTGCTCACGGATGATGAGAATGATCCATCATCCAAGAAAAATTCTAGTAAACTTTCCCGGCTTAATGCCAAGAAGGAAAAGATTCCCCCTATTGTGATAACCACTACCGATTTCCATGCTCTTCGCATGGAACTTTTGAATTTCGTGAAAGTTAAGTTTTCACTACAAATTGGACGTCGGGGTGAATGCCGTGTATTGGCTGAAACCTTGGACGGATTTAAATGTCTTCTCAAGTATCTTACTGAGAAGAAGCACAAATTTTTTACTTACGACACCAAAACTGAACGTGTGTTCAAGGTTGTCATGAAAGGACTGCCCAGTGGTGAATCCCTGGATCAGATCAAAGATGAACTGGCAAAATTACTTGGAGTTGTGCCACTCCAAGTAATCAAAATGAAAATGAAATCCCGTCCTGGCGATTCGCGCAACGGGATTTCTAATGATTTTTATTTAGTTCACTTCAAGTCTAGTGAACTAAACAACCTTAAGGCCTTAGAAAAAGCTAGCCTTATGCTCCATGTCCGAGTGAAGTGGGAACACTTCAGGAAGACTGGAGGAAATTTCCAAAACCTCACCCAGTGCCGTAAGTGCCAGGGATGGGGTCACGGAACTAAAAATTGCTACATGCCAGCTAAATGCATGAATTGTGGTGATTCCTCTCACGCAAAGGACGACTGTCCTGTGAAGGAAGATCCTAAGAAATTTAAATGTTCAAATTGTGGTGAAAACCACAAATCCAATTTTTGGGAATGTAAGACTCGCAAAGCGATCCTACAATCTCGTTCTAACCGTCAGGTAGGAAACGCTCCACGTTTCCGACCAGGTACAAATTCCTCTGCTGTTAACAACGGTCAGCGAGGAACAAATTCTACATTCGTACCCGTAGGTACAAATATCTCCCCTGCTTCAAATGTTTCATCTGTACCTACTCCCCTCGCTGCTAACAATGTTCAGCGAGTTAATGGAGCTACCTATGCTTCTATTGCAGCGGGTAGAAATCAAAATACTAACCAACGTTCTAATGGAAATTTTGACAATTTTGACTTAGGAAGCATTACTGCCCCCAAAATGGAATTTTTACAGAATTCATTAATTGACATGATTTCTGATATGCTTAAATCTAACTCCATGTTTGATGCTATTCAAACTGGAGTAAAATTTGCAAATAATATTGTCATGACTTTAAAATTCAGTAATGGATTTTAAAGCATTAAATATTGTAAATTGGAATGCTCGATCTCTTAAAGATAATGAAGACGAGCTATTTAACTTTTTAAGGGTTCATAACGTGCATATTGCCGTTATAACTGAAACGTTCCTTAAACCTGCCCATAAGGTTAAGAAGGACGCAAATTACTTGATTTATAGAAATGATCGTCTTGATGGACCCTGTGGTGGCGTTGCCATCATTATTCATAGACGAATCAAACATAAAATTCTTTCTTCATTTGAAACCAAAGTTTTTGAAACTTTGGGGGTTTCTGTTGAAACAAAATTTGGACAACTTACGTTTATAGCTGCCTATTTGCCATTCCAATGCGTAGGCCAGCAAAAGAATTTTCTCAAGGGTGACCTCCAGAAACTTACCCGTCATAGGTCTAAATTCTTCATTATTGGTGATTTTAATGCAAAACACCGCTCATGGAATAATGCTCAAAGCAATTCCAATGGTAATATTCTGTTTGATGATTGTTCTGCAGGTTATTACACTATTCAATATCCAAACAGCCCAACATGCTTTTCTTCTGCAAGAAATCCCTCCACTATTGATTTGGTCTTAACTGATTCATGTCAACTTTGTAGCCAATTGGTTACCCATGCTGACTTCGGTTCTGATCACCTTCCAGTAACTTTTGAAATATCCCAAGAAATAGTTTGTAATCCCAACAGCTCTACTTTCAATTACCATAGAGCTGATTGGGAGCAGTATCGAACATTTATGGAATATAACTTCGATCCAAACATTCCTTTGCAAACCAAAGATGAAATTAATTATGCTCTTGAATCTCTGACTACTTCTATAGTTGAAGCAAGAGCTGCCTCAGTACCAAAATGCGAGGTTAAATTCGATTCAATTATAATAGACGATGATCTTCAGCTCTTGATCCGTCTAAAAAATGTCCGTAGGAGACAATATCAAAGAACACGCGATCCTGCCATGAAAGTTATCTGGCGGGATTTGCAAAAACAAATTAAAAAGCGATTCTCTGCCCTGAGGAACAAAACTTTTGAAAATAATGTTTCTAAATTAGACCCGAGTTCCAAACCCTTTTGGAAACTCACAAAAATTTTGAAAAAACCTCAAAAGCCAATTCCAGCGCTTAAAGAAGGTGGTAAAATTTTGATCACAAATTTGGAAAAAGCTCAGAAACTTGCTAAGCAATTCGAGAGTTCCCATAATTTCAGTTTGGGTCTTACTAGTCCTATTGAGAATCAGGTTGCTCGGGATTATCTGAATATTTTCTCTCGGGAAAATATTTTTGATGATTCCTGGGGGACTGATTTGGACGAAGTAAGGTCTATAACTAAAAATTTTCAAAATATGAAAGCTCCAGGTGATGATGGAATTTTCTATATCCTCATCAAAAAACTCCCAGAGAGTACCTTGTCTTTCTTGGTAAAATTATTTAACAGATGTTTCCATTTGGCATACTTTCCTGATAAATGGAAAAATGCAAAAGTTGTTCCAATTTTGAAGCCGGATAAAAATCCAGCTGAAGCTTCTAGCTACCGTCCAATAAGTTTGCTTTCTTCAATAAGTAAACTTTTTGAAAAGATAATTTTGAATAGAATGATGCTTCACATCAATACGAACTCAATTTTTGCAGATGAGCAGTTTGGATTTCGCCATGGGCATTCAACTACTCATCAACTCTTAAGAGTTAACAATTTAATTCGTTCAAACAAATCTGAAGGCCACTCAACTGGAGTTGCTCTTCTAGACATAGAAAAAGCATTCGACAGTGTTTGGCATGAAGGTTTGATTGCTAAATTGAAAAAGTTTAATTTTCCACTTTATATTATGAAATTAGTTCAAAATTATTTAACTGACAGAACTCTGCAGGTAAATTATCAAAATTCCAAATCTAATCGACTACCTGTTAGAGCAGGAGTTCCTCAGGGTAGCATTCTTGGGCCTATATTGTATAATATTTTCACTTCGGACCTCCCTGATTTGCCTCAGGGTTGCCACAAATCTTTGTTCGCTGATGACACAGGCATTTCCGCTAAAGGAAGAAGTCTTCGTGTTATTTGCAGCAGACTGCAGAAAAGTTTAGATATTTTCTCTTCTTATTTACAAAAATGGAAGATTTCTCCCAACGCTTCCAAAACTCAACTTATAATATTTCCACATAAGCCCAGGGCTTCCTTTTTGAAACCTAGTAGTAGTCACATAGTCACTATGAACGGAGTTCCAATTTCCTGGTCAAACCAAGTGAAATATCTTGGATTAATACTTGACCAAAAATTAACTTTTAAAGATCACATTGAGGGCATTCAAGCTAAATGTAACAAATATATTAAATGTTTGTATCCTCTTATAAACAGGAAATCCAAACTTTGCCTGACGAATAAACTTCTAATATTTAAACAAGTTTTTAGACCGGCCATGCTTTACGCTGTGCCAATATGGTCTAGTTGCTGCACTACCAGGAAAAAAGCACTTCAAAGGATTCAGAACAAAATTCTGAAAATGATTTTGAAGTTGCCTCCCTGGTACAGTACAACCGAAGTACATAGAATTTCGAATGTTGAGACTTTAGCACAAATGTCCAACAAAATAATTAATAATTTCAGGCAAAAGTCGTTGCAATCCTCAATTGCAACGATTAATTCCCTTTATACTTAGATAAGATTAGTTTTAGTTTTTAGTTTTAAGATATCAATTGTTATACTGACATGCAGGTTAAAAAACCTGTTTAAAATACGGAATTGTCAAGACATGAACAATGTAAAAACACTTAGATATATATCATAACAATTAAGGCTGGTACGTTACTGCAGTAACTGGAGCACCTAGGTTAAAATGAAATGTAATTTATTTTGAATTTGGAACAAATAAAGAGTTAAAAAAAAAAAAAAAAAAAAAAAAAAAAAGAGACGTGAAAAACTAATTCAAAGCTTCAAAAAATTGCTTAAGCCGTTTCCTACCCTATTAACTTCTTTGAAACATACCCAGTTCCTATCGAGTGACATTGAACCCGTCGGGGTTGTCCGGCAAAGCATTATCCAATTTCTAGCGCACAGTTTGATTGCATTAACCTAATCCATACCTTTTAATGTATGTAAACACAAGTGTAAAACTCTTTCTCAACTCATAAAACGTTTCGCAAATCTTGAGCAAACTTCCCGGGCTCGTAATTTCCGTCCTCACTCATCGATCTCCAAATGAACCCAGGCTCGTAAAACAGCTATAATCTCTTTGTATTTCCACTGCATTAACGGTCAGCCTCTGGCTGCCATAAAATTGAACCCCATAGCCTAGCCATAACAATAACAAACCGGAGGAACAAATGTGCAGTGCAACTGCACCGTATCGCGCCGTGTTCGGAATTGCAACGAGAGTTTAATGACGACCTTAAATCGTCCATTTCGCTAATTAACTGCATTAACTGCTTCGTGTTGGTACGCGCCATGACGTCTCCGGCTCCGGTACAAAACGGCCATAATAAAACAGTTTTAACATTGCTATTCAGTTTATGCTATAAAATGAGTTTCAGAGTGATGGTCGGTTTGTGCAATTCCAGCTCCAGTTTCACTTTCTTCCCAGCCACACGCGCCGTCACCATCTGTGGCCGTCCAGTCCAGCGACACATGTTTGATGTCCCACATTTGCATATCCATTGAGAGCCCGAGACCGACGGCACCGAGAAAAAGATGGATTTCTTTTGTTATGATCCGGGAGTCCGGCATTCATTATGTAAACTGTCTGCATTTCGTTCTGCTCGAGAGCTCGGTGGAAGCACGCAATTGTTGATTTATTACCTTTGATGGGAACTTCCTTCCTTAGATCTGGTCGTTTAGCAAATGCAACTGCACAATCTGTGAGAACTACGCCTGCGAAATTTTGCTTCAGTCTCCAAAGGAACTCCTGGGCTCGATTAATGGCGTGGGCCAGACAATGGGTTCTATCCAGTCCAGTAGGGCAGTGACGTTTGTCATCACCAGATCTTCGCCGGCTGGATTCTGTAGCAATCCTTCGATTTCGTCCCGTCGATCGTTGTACACGGCGCCTCCTTTCTGCGTTGGAATGTACACATCCAGATCGAACTCCACCCAGGTTGGCCGCACTTGAATGATCGCATCTCTCGGCAATATCTTGTTACCGTAGTCTACGGGGTGGATAGAAAGTCAGTTAACGAACTCTACAGTTGTTAATCATATAGTGGACTTACACAACTGGTTGGAAGGTTCTGCAGATAGACACCAGAAGAATCTAGGGGAAATCAGAATTAGTTGATCGAAGTTAGATCAAGAAAGGCATGCCTACTCGTCTGCCAGAGTTGTCCGAAGCAGTGCGACGCTGTAGTCTCGCTCACCGTCAAAATTCGGGTGCATAAACACCTGCAGCACCTGATGATCATGAGCCGTCGAACAGATCTCCTCCGGATGCGAGCAATTCACTGCTACCTGTCCGCTCGTAAGGGCAAACTCTCCGGTTAGATAGTATATCAAACCTTGGGAAGTACCGTTCCGAAAGAGTTGAACGAAGTTATGCTTCGTATAACTGTTGGCAACCTGGTGTGTTGCGTTTTTGAAATAATCAGTCTGTGGGAGGCCATGGTCAGATAACAGGAATAATAGAAGCAGCCTACATCACTTACATGACTCAACATCGCAGATTTGACGTTCGTCAAACCTTGTCGTCGGTAATCCTTGCATGCTATGCAAAGAAAAATGAATGAGTGCCGGACTGCAAATTACCTGCATCGACTCACCTGCTACGCTGCTTCTTAACTGCCGAAACGGTTTAGCTTCCTGCACAGCAACTTCCATCACTTCTTCTTTGACATACGTCACATTCCATACTACGGATTCGATCCAGTTCAGCATCGCCGTAGTGTTGGTCACCACAACCGGTTCTCCGGCTCGGTTCTGCAGTAGTCCAACTATCACATCTCTGTGTTCGTCGTAGACTGCAGTGGCCGGACTCGTACGAAGGAACGTATCCAATTCGAACTCTACCCAACTGGAGGCTTCGTTTGCAATGGAACTTAGCGGTAGTCTGTTGCCGTCAACATCTGTGCGGGAAGAAAACTGGTTAACGAATGCTGATAAGGGTTACTAAGGGTACGACAATTTACACAAGTTGATAGATGCCGTTGCGGAGAGACACCAGAAGAATCTGTCGATAGAAGTTTCTGAGTTAATCGTGGGGAGAATTTCATTCAGTTAGTCAATCATACTCATCTGCCGGTTCCGTCAAAAGCACTGCCACGTTGAAGTCTCTCCCTCCCCGGTAAGAAGGATGGACGAAGGCTTGCTGAACTTTCGTGTCATGGTTTGTCTCACAGACCACGTTCTCCTGCGAACAGTTTCTCGCAACGTCGACTGTCGTCAGCGCGTATCGGTCGCTAAGGAAGTACATCAATCCAACCTCTGTCAGATTAATGTATAGGACCACGTATTCGCCCTTGATATAACTAACCGATCGTGTGTAGGTGTCGTTTTTAAAGTATTTAGTCTGAAATCAAAGCAAGCGTCCGTTAACTAGCACTTCAGTAAACATTTGCAGTCACTTACGTGAATCAGCTTCGCTGGTTTCACCGCCGTCAGTCCTTTCCGGCGATACTCCTTACATTCTGAAATCAAACGAAAATGCAAGCTACCCATCTTTAACCACCCAATGCAACTTACTCTTCTCACTGATCCGGAGGTCATTCACGAACTTCACCTTCCGATCACCACCTCGTTCAATCTCTCCTCCCCCTTCACTACTATTGAAAAACCCCCGCTGCTCCCCATTCTCCATCACATACCGTATCCAATCCCCGTAGTAAGCCACATTCACAAAAGCCGAATAATCCGTCAAACTACAACTGCTATCGTTCCACCCTCGCTGCGCCGTAAAGCTAGTCACCCCTCGGAGCGTCCACCTACCATCATCTTCCTCCGTAAACAACCCTCCTCCGCTGTCCCCATTGCACACGGTACTCCCATTTCGATCCCCGGCACACAAAACTCCCACCGACAACGTAGTCCCAAACACCTCCCTATTGCTCGTCAAACACGTTACATAGTCCACTATCGGTAGCCGTATCTTCCGTAGCACATCAGCCGTTTCCGACTGTTCGGTCATCCCGAACCCGATCGCCACCGCCTGTCTACCGTAGAGTTCCTTGCCGTCGCTCAACGCCGCCGTCATCACATCCGGTAGACAAACCGGTCGAACGAACTCATTGATCGCAACCTTCGTCCGCAGGGCCAACAGTGCAATGTCCGCATTGAAGCGCCTTGGAACGAAGTCTTTGTGGAGGAAGTTCCCCACTACGGCAACGTTCTGCACGGGAAATCCGCTCATCAGCAAGTTCTGCCGAATCGAGCCCAGCTGTACGGTGATCAGCCGCTCGTTTAGTGCGTTTCCATCCTTGGAAACGCAATGTCCGGCCGTCAGGACGTATAGTTCGCTTAGCAGCGTTCCTCCGCAGACGTAGACGTACGCCGTTTGGGTAACTCGGTGCCAGATCGAGGCATGCCAGGGCCATTCACCGGCCGTTTGGGAAGATTGGCCATTGACGATCAGTGGCCGCCGCTGGTTGATGGCCGGCCGACCGCAGGTAGTCGTTCCATTGGTGATGGCCGTCACCAGCAGCGGTAGACGCAGAAGCAGCGAAAGCAGTACGCTGGATCTCATCGCTCCGGAGGCTCGCTTGGTACTGCGATCGGTGGGTGCGATCGAGTTCGATGATGTGTGCAAGCTTGGGTACGAGGATAAACCGGACTGTGTTTGCTTAAGATGTGCTGCGATACGGCCAGTTGACGACGGGTGTGATATGTCAACTTGTTGGAGAGGTGTTAAGTGGAGAGGTGCGTCAATTATGATTGGATGTAAGACCTTGGTGTGTTATGTGAATGTGGATAATGTGGGTTGAGAATTTCGTATTGGTTTTCAGCAATGTAGAACTTAGTTTTATGCTGAAATTTATTACCAGAATCATTCTAAGTTTTAAGATAATATATAGTTTCACTTATTTGTCTACTTTGAAATATCGAAAGGGTTGTTTTGTCCTTGTGGTTGGAGTTATTCCGGTGGGTTCCTGGGTAAGGTTTGCTTCCTGATGAGGCCCGTTGATCGTTATGTTTGAGCTGAAAACTTTTCAGAAATTACTTGTCTACGTAACAAAAACTTAAGTTTCATGATTCTCTGGGACGATTTTGTTCAAATGTCTCTGTCGAGGCTAGTTTCAAGGAACTCTGAGGCTGGAGTTCAGATGATTAGTTCTACTAAATCAACCAAGACGGGGACAATGTCTACAGTACCGAAATATGTCCATACAGATCCAAGGTGTTGAAGAACGTAAGACCAGTACATGTACACTTGATGTTCTAGATTCGCTTCAATACCGCATAGGTTCTTCAAATCGTCCTGAAGTTCAGGTGATTTGTTCTACTAGATCAATCGAGACTGGGACAAACTCTGTAGTATCGAAATATGCCCAAACAGATCCAAAGTATTTGTGTGCATCACTTAAGACCTATTGTCATGTATACCAGATGTTCTAGGTTCTCCAAATCGTCCTGGAGTTCAGGTGATTTGTTCTACTAGATTAATCAAGATTTAGACAATGTCTGTAGTATCGAAATATGTCCAAACAAATCCAAGATAATTATGTGCATCGACCTATTGTCAAGTATATCAGATGTTCTAGGTTCTCCAAATCATCCTGGAGGTTAACTCAGATGATGAACTAAATCAACCAGGACTGGCACACTGTCTGTAGCATTGAAATATGCCCAAGACCAGACCAAATGTTCTAGGTTCTCCAAATCGTCCTGGAGTTCAGATTATTTGTTATACTAGGTCAACCTAGATTTAGACAATGTATGTAGTATCGAGATGTGCCGAAACGTATTCATGCTATTTGTGGAAATCATGCTCGACCTATTGTTATATATACCAGATATTCTAGGTTCTCCAAATCGTCCTGGAGCTTAAATCAGATGATGAACAAGATCAATCAAGACTAAAAAAAATTATGTTGTATCGAAATATAACCAAGTAGATTCATGGAACCACCACACACCATTTGCGATACATTCACATCCATACCATATGGTCTAGGTTCTTCAAATCTTCCTGGAGTTCAGATGATTGGTTCTAGTAGATCAACCAAGACTGGAACAAACTCTGTAGTATCAAAATATGACCAAACAGATCCCAGGTGTTTGTGTGCATCGCGTAAAACCTGTTGTCATGTATTCCAGATGTTCTAGGTTCTCCAAATCATCCTGAAGCTTAACTCAGATGATGAACTTGATTAAAAAAGACTGGCACAATGTCTGTAGTATTGAAATATGCCCAAACAAGTTCATGGTATTTATATGAAATCATGACCGACCTATTGTCATGTATATCAGATGTTCTAGGTTAGCCAAATTATCCTGGAGCTCGAATTTTTTGTTATACTAGGTCAATCTAGACTTAGACAATGTCTGTAGTATCGAGATATGCCAAAACATATTCATGTTATTTGTGGGAATCATGCTCGACCTATTTTTATATATATGTACCAGATATTCTAGGTTCTCCAAATCACCCTGGAGTTTAAATCAGATGATGAACTAGATTTACTAAGACTGGCATAATTTATGTAGTATCGAAATGTATCCAAGTAGATTCATGGAACCACCATACACCATTTACGATACATTCACATCCATATCATATGGTCTAGGTTCTTCAAATCGGCCTGGAGTTCAGATGATTGGTTCTAGTAGATCAACCAAGACTGGAACAAACTCTGTAGTATCCAAATATGACCAAACAGAGGTGTTTGTGTGCATCACGTAAGACCTATTGTCATGTATTCCAGATGTTCTAGGTTCTCCAAATCATCCTGAAGCTTAACTCAGATGATGAACTAGATCAACTAAGACTGGCACAATGTATGTAGTATTGAAATATGCCCAAACAGGTTCATGGTATTGATGTTAATCATGACCGACCTATTATCATGAAGACCAGATGTTCTAGGTTCTCCAAATCGTCCTGGAGTTCAGATTATTTGTTATACTAGGTCAACCTAGATTTAGACAATGTCTGTAGTATCGAGATATGCCCAAACGTATTCATGCTATTTGTGGAAATCATGCTCGACCTATTGTTATATATACCAGATATTCTAGGTTCTCCAAATCGTCCTGGAGCTTATATCAGATGATTAACTAGATCAATCAAGACTAAAAAAAAATATGTTGTATCGAAATATAACCAAGTAGATTCATGGAACCACCGCACACCATTTGCGATACATTCACATCCATACCATATGGTCTAGGTTCTTCAAATCGTCCTGGAGTTCAGATGATTGGTTCTAGTAGATCAAAAAAGACTGGGACAATGTTTGTAGTATCAAAATATGACCAAACAAATCCAAGGTGTTTGTGTGCATCACGTAAAACCTATTGCCATGTATTCCAGATGTTCTAGGTTCTCCAAATCATCCTGAAGCTTAACTCAGATGATGAACTAGATCAGCTAAGACTGGCATAATGTCTGTAGTATTGAAATATGCCCAAACAGGTTCATGGTATTTATGTGAATCAAACACATCAGATGTCCTTGATTCTCCAAATCGTCCTGGAGCTTAAATCAGATGATGGACTAGATCACCCAAGACTGGCACAATGTCAATAGTATTGGAATACATCATGGAACCAATACACACAATTTGCGATACATTCGCATGTATACTTTATGTTCTAGGTTCTTCAAATCGTCCTGGAGTTCAGGTGATTTGTTCTACTAGATCAACCAGGAGTGGAACAATGTCTTTGGTATTGAAATATGTTAAAACAGATTCATGGTATTGATGTGAATCATGACCGACCTATTGTCATGGAGACCAGATGTTCTAGGCCCTCCAAATCGTCATGGAGCTCAGATTATTTGTCATTCTAGGTCAACCTAGACTTAGACAATGTCTGTAGTATCGAGGTATGCCCAAACTTATTCATGCTATTTGTGGGAATCATGCTCGACCTACTGTTATATATATTCCAGATTATCTATGTTCTCCAAATCACCCTGGAGCTTAAATCTGATGATGAACAAGATCAATCAAGACTGAAAAATATCAGCAGTATCGAAATATATTCAAGTAGATTCATGGAACCACCATTTGCGATACATTCACATCCATACCATATGGTCTAGGTTCTTCAAATCGTCCTGGATTTCAGATGATTGGTTCTAGTAGATCAACCAAGACTGGGGCAAAGTTTGTAGTATCAAAATATGTCCAAACAGATCCAAGGTGTTTGTGTGCTTCACGTAAGACCTATTGCTATGTATTCCAGATGTTCTAGATTCTCCAAATCATCCTGAAGCTCAACTCGGACGATGAACTAAATCATCTAAGACTGGCACAATATCTGCAGCGTTTAATATTTAGTAGATTCATGGAACCACCATTTGCGATACATTCACATCCATACCATATGGTCTAGGTACTTCAAATCGTCCTGGAGTTCTGATGATTGGTTCTAGTAGATCAACCAAGACTGGGGCAAAGTTTGTAGTATCAAAATATGTCCAAACAGATCCAAGGTGTTTGTGTGCATCACGTAAGACCTATTGTCATGTATACCAAATGTTCTAGATTCTCCAAATCATCCTGAAGCTCAACTCGGACGATGAACTAAATCATCTAAGACCGACACAATATCTGTAGCATTTAATATGCCCAAACAAGTTCATGGTATTGATGTGAATCATGCCTGACCTATTGTCATGTATACCAGATGTTATAGGGTAGCCAAATCGTCCTGGAGTTCAGATTATTTGTTATACTAGATCAACCTAGCCATAGACTATACCTGTAGAATCCAAATATGCCCAAATATATTCATGGTATTTATGTGAATCATGCATACCAGATGTTCTTGATTCTCCAAATCGTCCTGAAGCTTAAATCAGATAAAGAACTAGATCACCCAAGACTGGCACAATGTCAGTATTATCGGAAAACATCATGGAACCAATACGCACCATTTGCGATACATTCGCATGTATACTTTATGTTCTAGGTTCTTTAAATCGTCCTGGAGACTGGGACAAAGTGGGTAGTATCGGAAGATGCCCAAACAGATTAATAGTGTCTATGTGAGTCATGCACGACCTATTGTCATCTAGGTGCTCCATATCGTTCTGGAGCTCATATCAAATGATCTACTTGATCAACCTCTGCAGGAACAGTATATGCAGTAATGAAATGTGTCTGTAGTCATTGTGCCAGTCTAGTTCATCACCAAACTCTAGGTTGATTAGAAGAACCTAGAATGTCTGGTAGTTCTTGATGCTCATAGACACTATGAATCTATTTGAGTATATTTCGATACTACAGACTTTGCCCCAGTCTTGGTTGATTTAGTTAAATAATCGTCTGAAGACCATCCTGATGTCATTTGAGGGCCAAATATAGAACACACGTTGCTAGCAATTAGGAATATTTCAGAACAAAAATGGCAGAATTCTAGAACAGGATCGATAAATGGTCACATTCCCGTTGTGCCTGGTTTGCTTAAATGTTGAGAACTTCTATATAAGCTTTTCACAACGACTTGAAATAACTCGAAGTCAGATTCTGTTTGTTCCGTATCTTTCGGAGACACACCTTGTGGCTATTTGAGGTTGAAATACAGGTTGCATATTATGGTGGATCACGTTTGTATGGCGGCTAACAACCCCCTGATCCCACTGTTCTTTCGATCTGTATTTTGGCCCCCAACAACTTCAACAAATTTGAACGAATTTGGTTATGATCTGGATTTGCGGGAGAACTTT